AGGACAGGATGCAAAAATGAATAGAATCGAGGACTGTACACGCATAAAGATATAAGTTCTTGAAGGAGGCGAGATCTAAATTCTAATGTAGGTGGTTCCAGTCCGCATATTCACAAGCCTGTGGAGATGGCTTTTCTCGGTACTGAAAACCACAATAAAAGAATTGAAAATACAAATTAAATGCATTCATTTTTTTTTTCCTTCAATGAACTTCTAATTTCTATTTTGTCGTCCATCTCTTCATGGTGGCTTCAATTGCCTCCTCCCTCATTTTAGATAGTTGTTGAAACCACTGCTGATGTTGCGCGTCGATTGCATCCAACTCTGTCTTTAACTTAGTCTCTTGACTCTTCTCCAGCAAGGACAAGGATGAAGAACAGCTTGTCAGATATGTATCTTCAGAAACTCTATTTACATCTGTGAAACTCATTCCAAGATTCTTTACAACTTCATTCCAAGCTACGTGTTTTAGACCATCCCAATCATTTTCCTGGATCTTACATTCGTCATAATACAATTCCGCAAAATCCATCTCAGAGGCCGGAGTGCTATAACCTTTAAAGGCCTCCTCACTAATATTATTGTAATCAAGAGATTCAGCAAAGTTCTCATTCTTATCTGAGGCATTCTCTCCCATTACCTCCGAAGTTATTGATCCACTGGATTCTTCACCATATAAGGCTGCAGGTTGTAGAAAGTCAAGTGCAGCGCCAGGTGACATATCACTTGGATTTGGATTGGTACACGAATTACCTTTATTAGCCATTGTACTCATTCGAATATTATCCATAGTATGATCGTCTGGCTTGAGTCCCACCTCGGCAGGAGAACCATTAGGAGTCGAAAACCTTTTACTTGCTGCGAAGTTGCGGCCAGCCATTGAAATGCCTTCGTACGTGCTTCTTTCCCCGCTTGAATAATCATCAGACGAGGGTATCCAACTAGGTAAAATTCTCGAAATTAGATAGTCAATAAAGTCAGCAATAAAAGCTACATCATGATCTGCCAATGATAGTTGCTCCGCCATCTCTCCGGCGACAGAGAGCGCAGTGTCAGTATCAAGGTAGAAAAGAAAGTGTATGTTCTTGACCGGGCCTGTAGCTAAAAAAAAAAAAAAAAATAATAATGGAATCAAATAAATCGATTATATTGTACAAAACTAATACTACTAGTATAAAGCACTGGAAACAATAGTTAGGCAGGCAGTTAGTTACCATGCTGGTCTGCTATTCGCAAAGTCAACGAGATTGAGTTATCATCATTTTTCTTCCCCTTCAACCTGAATTCCTTGTTTTGATGCACCCGCTGAAATTCTAAAATAGCACCGTGCGGACTCTCAGCATTGGATTGAGTATACTCGGCATCCACATCCATAGAATGAGGTTCACAGCTCAATAAACCTGGTGATCTAGGAGTTTGGTTAGTTAACTTTATTGGATGCCGAAGGGGTTCTTTCATATTATCAGCTTCGAGAAATGGATCTTTAAGAAGCTCCTTAGCAGGCAACCTCCTAGACGCTGGAAGCAAGCATTTCTCAATGAACTCTTTGGCTTTGGTATCACTCACATTACCAAGAGAAGCTGGCTTAACGCCCTGAATTGAGCAAATTCCCATGGATGATTAAACTCACACACACACACGCACGTAAGACCTGATAATGGTATATACAAGACATCAAGTTGAATTGAACTTACAGAGGTAACTCTTTTAAAAATTTGAGCTGGATTTTTGCACTCAGCGTACGGATATTCCACAGTGACCATTTCCAGCATGCACATTCCGAATGAATATACATCAACTAACTCATTGTATTCCTCTTCGTAAACTTCTGGGGCCATAAATTCAGGGGTTCCTAATGAAAAAAAAAAAAAAAAACATAAAATGAGCTCGTTGAGAAGTTTAGGTTCTACTATTACAGAATATGTAGATGAAAGAGGTTGTCAGAATCAAACCTATAACACTCTTAGCAGTACCCCGCTGCAAAACAGTTGCCAGCCCAAGGTCACCAATTTTGACTTGCCCCTGATTTCCATTTACAAAAATGTTATCGCATTTCAAGTCTCGGTGAATGATTGGTGGATTCTGGCTGTGAAGATAGTCTAAACCTCGTAGAATCTGTCTTGCCCAATTCTTTATGGCCTTCGTATCAACACTTTTATGCCTCTTTCGATATCTATTAGCCAAAACACGTACAAATAACTAAAAGCGGCATCAATGTAGGAACAAATAAGCTAAAGTCATTCAAATAACTCACTGTCTCAGGCTCCCAGATGTGAACAGTTCGGTGATCATGTTTACCGTCTTCTTCTTATCATCAATCCATGAATCATAAAACTTCATAATATTTTCATGTTTCAATTGTCTAAGTAGATGAACCTCAGAATATAGTTTCTCCAAATCTTCTGGAGATCTTAATACATCAGCAATCTTGATTCGGTTCCATGCAACTTCTATTCCATCTAGTTGGTCAAAGGCCTTGTAACTACAACAAAAAAAAAAAAAACATACAGAAATAGGCGCAATTAGAGAGTTCAGCTAATCAAAATTTTGTAAAACAAAAATAGTGTGCTTTATTTACAGTTTTTTTGGTCAAGCAACAAATTGAGAGAAAGTTGCAAGATCATACACAGTCTTGAATGCCCCCTTGCCCAAGACCTCATTGTACTGCACAATAAGGTTAATAAAAACATAAATGTTTGATTAATTAAATAAGCAGACAAACTTAAAACTTTCATGTTTGTCACTAAAAATTATATGCAGCATCTTCCAAACAAGAACAAATAGATAAACTCGAATATAACAATTAATAATTTTTACTCGTTCCAAATCCATGTCCCCCAAATATTTGTGATAGAGTTTGTAATTACAAGAAGATCATTTCTTTTGAAAACAAATAAAAGTGTACTCAATCAACAGTTTACAAATTGCAGATGGCATGTTACAGATTTAAAATTAGTACAGACAAATGGCATATCAAAGGGAATGTATGGCACAAGAATCAGCATAAATTTCCGCATATCAGAGGAACATACGCCTACATTTTATACTAGTATAAAAATGTACCCGAAGGTATCGACCCCTAGGGTCTTTCTCCACATAGTCATGGAACTCAAGGTCAGGCAGCTCGTAGACGGTGTTGCCATTGGCTTTCTCGACATGGTGAAGGAGCTCAGGATTGGGCGCCTCATTAACGTTATTGCCATTGGCTTTGTCGACGTAATCAAGGAGAAGCTCATCAACGTTGCCATTGCCGTTTATATCCCAAAACAACTGATCATCTTCGTCAACAACACAAGACCCAATCACGGTCCCGTTCCTCCGTTCATTTTTATGCCCAGAAAGAGGTAATCCCAATCCAACAGCACCAGAACAACTCATCACAAACACCAAACAGACGGAAGACAAACAGACAACTAGAATAAACTGAAACTGAAAGAAGAAGAACGAAAAGCACGAGAACAACAGCATGAACGCGAACAGGAATAAGGAATACAGCCAACTAAACTTAGAACGAAAGATTAAAGAATGAGGCCTCCCTCCAGGGCGCCATTGCATTGGGTTACGTCGGAAAAGAATGCCGATTGCATGTGATTGAGTCGTCGTAGGTGGCAGCATCGACATCCGATATCCAAAACAGCATTAACTACTTCCGTAGCATCCGCAACACATACAAAATCAACAACATAAGACGACCTAGACAACCATGCATGTGTTGAGAAGATCTTCTTAAAGGAACACGAAGATTGTTTCCTTCCCAAAAACCCACTTTCCATTATCCTCTTCTTCTACTAATAATCTTGATTGACCCTTCTCTATAGCAACCAACGAACCTCTCATTTATGGTTTATCCTCTCTCCTACCATAATTGTACAACATATGTTACTTTTGTAGAAACAGTCAGTTCACACCCCCTTTAAAAGGAATGATAAAAGGGCTGTAGGGATATATGGATGGAGAAGATGAAGAAAGGAGGAGGGAAGAAAAAAGGAAGAAGAAAGGGGAAAAAAGGGATAATGTGTAAAGGTTGGGGTCCGGGGGGGGGGGGTGTGGGTTTGGAAGGTAGAGTGGAAAGGGGATTTCTTTTTTCTTTTTGTTATTTTTTGCTTTTTAGATGGGAAAGGGTAAGAAAAGGGGATGAGAAGGGGAGGAGGTTGATTTATTGGGAGGAAACCAAATGGAATGGTGCGATAGAGAAGGGTTGAACACACACTTGTGCGATGAGGTTTGTTAAATTCAAGCATTCAACGTGGATTTGATAGATAGACTAACAGAAACAAAAAAAACTTTGCTAGAAAAACAGGTAGAAGCATTTCTGAAGTTTCTGATTTGCATGGGAGGAAACTGTGATAAACTAACAAATCCAATCTCAGCTCAAGATTTGGGGCATCATCTCTTTTTCGGGTTTTATGGGTGACTTATCATTTAATCTTATTTGGGCATGGCAAGCGAATATACGCTGGTTATTTGCTTACGCGTGGCTGCTTAATGCTATAAAAGAAATTTAGGTGTACTCTAATTTACCTAAAAAAGAAAATGTGATACATAAAATAATTTTTTAATACGGGTATGCATAGGAAGTAAAAGAAGAATGATTTGGATCGCTTTCTATTTCTATAATCGTAATGTATTTATAATAAGTTTAGTCGATTAATCGTTTATTATTTTCAATGGTCAGGAAAAAGCATTTAAAATTAAGAAAGAAATGATGTTGGCAACATAAAGATGATAATTTGCAATTCAAGAAAAAAATGGCGTTGAAGTTGAGATGCCGTGTTAAAATAATAAAATACAGGAAAATAAGGAGATACCTCTCATTAGATGTTTAAAAAGAAGAAAAATGGACAGAGATATGCGGTGAGCGTGGATCGAACACGCGACCTTCAGATCTTCAGTCTGACGCTCTCCCAACTGAGCTATCCCCGCTCGATGCCTCTTCTAATAGGAGATCTCTTATTTAGAATAGAAGGCCCTCCTATGCCGGCGATGGTGTCGTCCCGTACGAGGTTATAACGTGAGTCTAACACAGTGAAGGTCTCCAGTTCAAGTCCGGGCGACGCTATATGTCGGGTCGGGACCACCTGTTGCTCTGTATTTTTTGGATTATCCATTCGTGTGTCGGGATTGGGATTATCCATTCACAAGTGAAGATGGTTCTGACTTCTGAGTTCTGACTTCTGATGTTGTAATAATTTATGAGAGTTTGTTTGTACTTGTGATATGGGCGGCGGCCAGAGAGAGCGCGGACGCCTGGGGAATCGCAGGTGGTTTCGAGTTCCACTCTCACCAACCGGCTAACTTTGGATCCGCTGTAGAAATCACAGGCAATAGTAGTTCCCTCCGCCTGGGATTAAATGATGGAAAGCAGGAGGGATGGGACTCAGACTAAGCGGAGGAGTAGAGGCAAAGCCAATCTGGAGACAACCTTGAGGAAGGCATGGTACCATCTCCGCCTCTCCGTCCGCCATCCCACCAGGGTTCCCACCTGGGACGCCATCGTCCTCACCGCCGCTAGCCCCCACCAGGCCCACCTCTACCATTGGCATCTCAATCGTGGCAAGCGCATTGGCCGCATTGCTCCCTCTACTCTCACCCTCGCCGTCCCCGACCCCCATGGCCACCGCATTGGCTCCGGCGCCGCCACCCTTCATGCCCTTCTCGCCCTCGCTCAACACTATTACACCCTCAATTCTCCGGTACTACTACTGCCCCAACTTCCACTCCCTGCATTATCAATATTTACTTGCTTAGTGTATCTTTCCAATTTCTGCTTACTCTTCTTCTGAGGTCTTTGTGTACCCGCTTCTGGATTTCGTAAACAACTCCGTCTTGCTGCTTTTTTTTAACTAATCCAATCCTATTTCTCAACAATCTTTGCCTTTTTTGTTTTCCTTGCACGAGTTCTATGACACTGAAGTCGTGATCATAATGACTGATCCAATCTTTTCTGAATTTGCTCCAAAGAAATCATATTCCCACATTTTGCAAAGATGAAATCGTTCAGATTACTGGAAATTGGAAAAAATAGTGTTCATGGTTTGTTTTTTGGGGTTCGAAGTAGCAAGTTCCCCTATTACAGTACAATAAGCGGAAGATACATTACGCAAAAGCAGAGGCAAGGTAGTTGGTAGAAGTTTTTACTTATATTTCATATATTGCTGACTTTGTTTTGTCCCCATTGCAATATGCTCCTCCCGGAGTTATGTACCAAGATGTTTAGATTGGCACACTTGAATTTTAGAAGATTAGATTTTGTGTTTTGTGATGTGTCCTTGCAGCTGCACTTACCTATCTTTTGAGAGAGGATAGATTATGGAGAGGAAAACAAGATACCCTGATAAATTTGCTTGTGTAATACATGGATATGATATTGAAGAATTCTGCACAGTTATGATAGTTTATCTTTCAGAGAGAAGATGTCTTTTAGGACATTGTTGTGATCCTTAGTAGTATTTTCGCTGCTTTCTTGATTAAGTATATCAGGTGACGTCTGCAGGTAGAAATTACAACGAGCTCCAATTCTATATCCACTGAAACCAATGTAGGCTTAAAAGACGGAGTTCCTTCCTTGGCATTTGTTGAGTTGCTTGCCAAGAAGCATATCTTGTTGCTTCATGCTGGAGGTGACTCTAAAAGAGTCCCATGGGCGAATCCCATGGGAAAAATTTTCCTGCCACTTCCTTACCTGGCATCAGATGACCAGGACGGGCCAGTACCTCTGCTTTTTGATCATATACTTGCAATTGCTTCTTGTGCCAGACAAGCTTTCAAGAATGAAGGTTACTTTCTCATGTTTGTCATTATCACATAATCATTTAATGTGTGTCCTTGCTTGGAATCTGTATGGTTCTTGATGTTTGTTCCTTCTTGCTTCTATTAGAGCTTGATGTAGTCATGCTGACCATACCATTCTTTCAGGTGGATTACTCACCATGACAGGAGATGTTCTTCCTTGTTTTGATGCCAGCTCATTGGTTCTTCCTGATGATGCCTCCTGCATAGTCACTGTCCCCAATACTCTTGACATAGCATCCAACCATGGTGTTGTTGTAGCATCAAAATCTGTGCTATCAGATGAAAACTTTGCCATCAGTTTAGTGGAGAATCTGCTTCAGAAACCTAGCTTAAAGGAGCTTGTTGACCATCAGGCAATTCTAGATGATGGCAGAACATTGCTGGATACAGGAATAATTGCAGTTCGTGGTAAAGCATGGATGGATCTTGTAAGACTTGCCTATTCCTCCCAACCAATGATCTCGGAGCTTTTGGAAAGCAAGAAAGAGGCAAGCCATGTCATTCATTAGCTGTGAAGATTTGATGGTTGCACCAACTTTTGCGCATAGCTGAGATGATTGCTTTTAATATTTTACAACTCTGTTTGCTGGATGTTTTATTTTGGCTAAAATCTTATCAGAACATTTTCCATTACTTGTCAAGTTGCTGACTTGTTATGCATACATAATTCTCAAAACATCATTTATTCTTCCACCACTGATACTCTGTCTGTTGTATGACATCGCTTCATTCTATTTTTACAATCCTTTTCTCTTCAAATTTTGATTGCTAAGTTTTGTTGCCAAATACAAGCAGCATCTAAAGAACACAATATCAGAGCCGACAGGCATTTATGTTGTTATGCAAAGTACTCCTCTCTGTGATACTTAGCTTGAGTGCTTCTATCATTCTAGTAGAGACACTTCATTATACGTTTCTCGTGAAGCTACTGCTCCAATTGTAATTCTTGGTTCTTTTTGCAGTCTAGCAAGTTCAACTTCTTAACTCTTGGTGTTTTAAATTTTGTTTACGTGTGCAGATGAGCTTATATGAAGATCTTGTGGCAGCTTGGGTACCGGGAAAGCATAAATGGTTGCAGATGCGCCCTCTTGGCGAAGAGCTTGTCAGCAAATTGGGAAAACAAAGCATGTTCAGCTACTGTGCTTGTAGGTTGAATCTTATTGAATATATCATGATGTTTGTAATGTTGTAAGTAATATACCAATATATTGTTCTTTATCATGTCACCTAACTTGTTTGAGTTTGAGAATTTTGTCTTTAAAACATCTTGTTTGTGTTCATAGTGTATTTATTTAATGAAAGTGATGCATATCGGTCCTTTGGTGAAGCTCTTTGCATATTTTATTGTAGATGACCTCTTATTCCTGCATTTTGGAACTTCCAATGAAGTTTTGGATCACCTTAGTGAAACTGGTTCAAGGCTTGTTGGTCGAAGGCATTTAAGTTCCATCCCAGCAACCACAGTATCTGATATTGCTGCCTCGGCAATAATCCTTTCTACCCAAATAGCATCTGGTGTCTCTATAGGGGAAGATTCTATGGTATATGATTCCTGCATTTCACGTGGGGTGCAGATTGGTTCACAATGTATAGTTGTTGGTGTGCATTTGCCAGCAGCTGACAGTCCGGTGGCAGAAGATTCATCCAAATTCTGTCTTCCAGATCGTCATTGCCTCTGGGAGGTTCCCTTGATAGGGTACACTGAAAAGGTTATTGTTTACTGTGGTCTCCATGATAACCCTAAAAATTCATTTCAAAAGGATGGGACTTTTTCATTTCAAAAGGATGGGACTTTTTGTGGGAAACCCTGGAACAAGGTCTTAGGTGATTTAGGCCTTCAAGATACTGATCTCTGGAGCTCAGAAGGAACCCAGGAAAAATGTTTGTGGAATGCTAAAATATTCCCTATTCGCTTGGTACGAGCTTTGGTGATTGGTCCGATTGGTATCACCATGTCCTTGGTGGGAGCTTGGATGGCCGCATCACTTTTATTAGTCGTTTGCTTCACCTAAAATGCCTTGATAAGTTAAGTAACAAGATTTTTAATATGCTTCTTGAGCTGTTGAGGGAAGCCTTTCTGGAGGCCATGACTAATTTGCCTTCTTCTTACTATGAGGCTAAGAAATTGATAAATACATTGGGGTTGGGTTATGAAAAGATCGATGCATGTCCTAATGATTGTTCTCTTTATTGGGGTAGTGCTGAAAAAAGAATTTCATGCGAAACATGTAACGAGCTTAGGTGGGTTGCCTTAGAAAATGATCCAACTGGTGAAAAAAGAAAAATTCCTTAAAAAGTGTTGCGGCATTTTCCCTTAAAAACTAGATTGCAAAGACTATTTATGTCTTCTAAAATTGCTTCTCATATGAGATGGCATGAGGAAAAACGTACAAAAGATGGTTGTATGAGACATCCAGCTGATTCTCCAGTTTGGCAAACTTTTGACCATCTACATCGAAAATTTGCGAAGGATTGTCGAAATGTTAGATTGGGGTTTGCGTCTGACGGGTTTAATCCATTCAACAACATGTGTTCTACACACAGTACTTGGTCTGTGGCTTTAATACCATATAACTTACCTCCATGAATGTGTATGAAGCAACCATACTTCATGTTGTCCTTATTAATACTCGGACCATCCTCTGTTGGGAATAATATTGATGTTTATCTATAGCCTCTAGTTAAAGAACTAACCGAATTGTGGGATTTTGGCATTCAAACTTATGATGCATCCCAAAAAGAAAATTTTCAATTGCATGCAGCTCTGTTGTGGACCATTACTGATTTCTCGGAATATGCAATGTTATCTGGTGGAGCACTAAAGGTGAATATGCTTGTCCTGTTTGTCACAAGTTCACTCATGCACGACGGTTGACTCATAGTTTCAAATATTGCTATATGGCTATTGGCTGAAAAAAAAAGGTATATAAAAAAGAAAGAAAGAAAGAAAAGACAGCAGAGAATATCCTCCTTCCCTATCAACTAAAGTACTAACATGAGCCTGTCATTTCACTTTGCCGTAGTTGTTTGCGCTTTTCTGCTTTCATGGTTTAATAACATCAGTTGCGTCCACCTCCACATGCAATACGGAAATATGAATTTCATAGTAGTATTTGTGTTCAGTGTCAGAGAAATATGACCCTCCCTCGCTCCCTCTCCCCCAAAAAAAAATAAAAATAAAAAATTTAGAGCTTTTCTCGTTCACTAAAATTTCCACAAGCCTAAAGGCTTGAAGGATGACCTTGCAAGTGCACTAAAAGCAGAGGAAAGCAGATAAGAGCCTTTACCAGGACATATGATGCAGAACGATCGAGAATTGAGCTAGCTTGGAAAGGTTTGCTTTTCTAGCTAGCTAGGGAGTACTTTTATTGCTTCAAGAAAGAAGCCTTGTTGATTTTGCGAGGAAAAGGTTCTATTGCAGTGAAGGAGGAGCAAATGTGACCCACGGAAACAAATTAAGCGGATAACCCGCAGGCCCTGCCTAGCTTGCTGGATAGGAACATCTACCCCGACCCTGCAACAACAGAGAAACATGATCAAGATCAACTTGGCTTTTTGACAGAATCCAAAGCAAACTACTAGGCGCAGTGCTATTAGCTTTATTACAGCCAACAAATTGAGGACCCGATCCAATGCCCACCATTTCTGGTCCCTCCCTCCAGTCCATTGTCCTTCTCCACTGGTTTTAGCTCTATGCTGCGCAACCGGACATCTCACTAACAGTCAAATTCAAATACCTACAACAAAATCTCGATCAGGGTGTGCTGAATAATATCTACATATACTAAAATAAGATTATTGATATTTGTTAAGTAGCACAAGAAAAAATAATAATAATAATATGAGCATGCACTTAGGTAGGTTACGTCCATTAACTAGTGTTCGACGTAAGAATATTTTGTTCGCCATTGTGCCCTTCCAGTGAAGTAGCCATAGTCTCTATACAAGTTCTAGATTGTCTAACTGCAGAAAGAATCCAATGAAAGACATTTCCTGCATCGAGGATTCAAGGCCTAACCAACGACCGGAATAGCGATGACCGGGGGAAACAAGTGAGAGGAAAATGGACATTGCACAAGCCCACCAAAAAAAGAAAAGGTGTTTAAGATTCAATCAGGCCGTTCATTTTTTATCGGGCGACGGGAACTATGAGAGGAAATGAGTGAGAAACACATAAGGGCCCCCCACGGGATGTGGGGTTGATGGAGCCATTAGATCCCGAGGAAGCTCCATTAATTTAAGTCTGAGGATCATGAGTGTGCGTGCTTGGACTTGGATACATGGCAGCACTCAGCACGACTGCTGAATGGGGATGGAGTTGGCGATTCTTGAAAATTGGCTGTGAATCATCGTGTTCGGCAATATCAAAAGCACTAAGTTATAAATTGGAGGTCATATTGTACCAAACGAAGTACTAAAAGGAAAGGGCAAAAAAAAAGGCTGTGGATCGTATGATCGCTCGGGGAATTGGTTTCTGCGTTTTACTGCACATATAACACAATGCTTACAAAGCGTTGGCGAATTGGAAAGGTGTAAAGTTGATGGGGATCGGGGAATAGTGGACTATCAATTCAAGAGACGACACGAGAGAGAGAGCTGAGAAGGACAAAGCACAGTACAAAGTCCAAGAGCAAATTGTTGAGATGAGATGAGATCAAAGAGTCAAGCTAGCTTGGCAGCTAGGTGAATGAATGTCGGGGGTTTGGTACTGTATCACATATCATACCAACCAATTACAGAGTCGCGTCAAGCAGAATCAGGAGGAAACCATCGAACTTTTCGTACTATGGTTCAGTAGCATCGAAACGACATGCGATCCTTTCACGATCAAATAGTACTACTTTTACAACTTTTGTTATCCAATTCAGATTACCACCATTAGCTAGCCTAGAGCACGGCAAAATTTTGGCAGGGGAAGGTTGATAAGATGCCTGAATTAGATATCACCTTGCCTGTGCTATGCCTATGCGTTGCGTCGCAGGTGAATGTTTAATGCGGGCGTAATTAATTTTGTTGCACGACCACTTTAAATTCTTCTGACATGTATGTGTAATAAGCCTGTGTTGTCGCAATGGGGTTGAGGATCCAAAATGCAGGTAAGCAAGCACTTGACAAAGTTTTAGGCATCTTGAGATTTGTTGCGCGACGGGGACTTGCTTGCTCTAACTTGTTCTCTACACTACAAAAAAAAAGAGGTTGGATGTTTTGACCTCTTAACTTAGACTCCAAATTCCATGGAAAAGCTAACCTTTCATGCAATTTATACCTTTCATGCATTTGCCGGTAGCAAAACCAATGATGTGAGGAAAACAGAGAACTGAATAGGTCGTCGTTAGAAAAGGTTGTTTGTTTAGAGTTTAGAGTAATTCTTATGATTGATTAGGGTGTGTGTGTGTCACTGTGTGTGTGTGTGTGTGTATATATACATATATATATATAATTAAAATTATAATGTAAAAAGGGTATGATTGGAATTCGGCTGAATAGAAGAATCCATGGGGAAGCAAACGCAGCAACATCTCGTCAAAAATGTATGCATGCAGGTACGTGGGTGTGGGGCGAGGGCTCACTGCTTGGGCTGTCACCTTACACGTGTCGGCCAGTTAAACCTTCCTACCACTTGACCAAGACCCCCCCTCCCCGGCGGGCCTGCCCGAGGCCCAATCAACAGAAGAGTGGGGCCTTAAACGGCCTTCTCCATTCTCCATTTCCCTTTCCCCCCAGCCCCGATGTCCCAGTTGATTTCCCACTAAGCCGTTTTAGCCAAGGAGGCAGCTATAGCCTTCTTCTTCTTCTTCTTCTGGGCAAATACTCATTCTTCTTCTTCTTCTTCTTCTTCTTCTTCTTCTTCTTCTTCTTCTTGTTTGAGACCAGAGATCACATTTCACCACTGCTGCATATTACTAGTACCCAAATGAAGGTCATATTTTACCCTTTCCCTCTAATTACATTTCTTCTCTGATTTCTCAATTTAATAAGTTGGCTAATGCTCTGTTTTCTATGCATAGATCTTCAATTGGGTGCACCGTCGCTTTATTCCTAGAGGTACATATTTTTGGTTTACTAGCTATTGCTTCTTGTTTAAATTAATTAGTGGAACACAACATATTTGGGTAAGGTGAAACACAACACATTTTGATCATCTTCCTAATTTTAGACTGCTACGCTACTACTACTACTACTTGACTATTTTCTTCTCTCCGTCTTTTTTAAAAAATAATACATTTTTTTTAAAAAAAATTTTCTCCACGAATGATGATGGCAGATGGATTGGGTCAGAACCATGTGAAAAAGCATGAAGAGATCCCCCTGGCTAACAGCAATGATGATCATGCAGAAGACACGGCAGCCCTACTGCTTGACAAGGTTGTCCCGGATGATGATGATGATGATGAGATGCTGCAACTATTCCAGGGTCATAATTATGATGGTTGGGGTGGAGCTGGGGCTGGTATTCTATCCATTGGCACATTTGGGCTCGACAAAACTCTGGGCATCAATATTCATCCTGAACCAAATAATAAGGAGTTTTTCGGGCTGAGAGGTAAGGATGGCGATCAAGACCCGGAATCAGAAGATGACGACGACCGACAACGCTGTGACGAGGAGGAGGAGTCTGATCATCATGATGATGTGGAAGATGATAATGATGAAATCGACTGCGAAGAAGAATGGAACCCTTTGGTGTACGACAAAAGTGGTGCTCAAAGGCCAATCAATGCTTCTGCCCTCGTCATCGGCAACAGCAGCATTCATAATGATGCCAAACCTGTGCGTCCTCCTCCAGGTAACCTCCAGCTGCAGCCGGACACCCCTGATCACGACGACGAGCACATTCATAGCAACTACTCCAGCTACAGGAGGATCATGATCAACACCAAGAAGGAGAAGGAAAGAATCACTCTGGCCGACCTGTTTTCCGCTGATTCTGATGATGCGATTTGGATGGACGGGACTGCCAAAAACAACATCCCAAGTTGTGATTACTTGCAAGCGCAGTGCATCAAGAACCAAGCCGCCAGTGCCACTCCGCACCCTCCTGACCGTGCTAAACCCAAGAACGGAACGTTACTGTTCCCCAAGAAACTCATCCCTCTGGTCAAACAAGATTCACGTCCCATTCAGAAATTGCACGGGGTGAGTCGGTCATTTTTTAATTTCACTCTCCCTTTATCCTCCTCCTCCTCCTCAAGCTTTTGGATCGTGCGAAATTGCATACATCGACACAACTGCTGCATGGTCCACTTGATTTGGAGATAACTGATTGATTCTCCTTGTAACTTGCAATCACATCTAGATAATACTAGGAGTTAATTAATTAAACAGCGCTAATTATTACTTGGCAATGGACGTATGTGTACGAATAAATAGCGCCAATCTAACCGACTGCGTTAAAACAGCTGATGAAGAGGATGTTGAAGAGAAAAATTCACCCGGACGTTGTGGCAGCTGGGAAGAACAACGCCTGCGCTGCCAATGAATCGGTTTCCCTTCTTCAAAGTCAAGGTATCGTAATTTTTCTCCAATTCCTTGCACTTTAACCTAATTAATTAACTATGTGTTTTTTCTATACCTATATAATCATATGGAAAAATAATATGCATGTGGTTTCTACGACTTACATTGCTAAAACGAATCAGCGAAGCACATTGGTTTGGGTTTGCACCAAGAATTGTCTTGAAAATCTAGTAGCTAAGATTGAGATTCTAGCAAATAGAGGTGATCCCGCTTCGTATTCGTATTTGTGCTCCCTCCCCCCTTCTTTCATCCCACTCCTTCTTTGTTCGAATTCTTTTTCTCTACCAAAAAAAAAAGAGTGTACATTGGTTTACGCGTGTTGGAGTTGGTCCAGTCAGTGGCACTAGTTTTTTTAGG